GTAACTGTTCTTGGTGTAGAGTGGGGGAACGTGATTTATGGGACCATCGTAATAAAGTGGTAAAATTAGTAAATAATGGTAAGCACAGTGAACTGGCGTGACGCCATGGAGTGTGTTCAGGGGAAAATACCCGTGATTTAATCATCACTCATCGGTCTCAGATCTTAATGGAGGGACCTCTAATGTGCATAATAGTTATGAGACGTTAAACCGTATGGTGGGCTGTGAAGTAATCAGTGATAATAACACTAAGTTACGAGAATGTGTGAAGTGAAATGAGTTGGTGTTCTCCGAGTGAGCATCTGTTAACCTCGTGGTTCCTGCCCCGAGGAAAGCGGAGTTTATGGAGTAACGATTTCTAAACCAGGACAAACCAACAGATGCTTCGTCCTGCTGAAATAAGAACCGTATCGGTGTAGCTGGACATCGAAATGACATGGAGGAAATAAGGAGCATCAATCACCCACAGTTTAGTAACCCTTCTAGTTATAGCAAACTGATACTGGCCAGTTAGGTATGTTGTAATTGGTTGGGTTGTGGGTGATCCAGCTACATCAAGTGACCAGAGAATATCTGGTAAGCGGTGGTATTATATACAAGTGTTTTTTCCTTGATGGATATGTGTGTGTGTAACCTACTCCCCCCTTTCATTCAGTCAAACCAATATAATCTATACAGTCCACAATTAATTAATAGCACCGTACTTGTGGGTGCTATCCACTTCATACTGGTCTCGGATAGATATGGGTAAGATTGTGAGGTCGAAGGAGCAACCTGCAGTGACCAGGGGTGGCTAAGTTTTCTCACATGTCTACACGGGGTAACTAGTATAAACAATATATGGTTGTCGCCTCCCAATGAGATTATGTGTATGAATTTAATGTTGAGGTACATACAGGTAACCCCATATGAAATTTTCCATAGTACTGTTGTATTCAACAAAATAAACACACTAATATTTTCATCATTATTTCATTTTACAATAATTGTTTACAACAAAAAATATGCAAAAATGTTGTATATTAGTAATGTTCTATTATATATTTACAAATGTACAGGAACTCGACATGTTCCTTGAGGTGGATGACAAAGCGCTTTGTCTTGGAAACTGCCAAGTCATTAGCTAGCTTGCGTCGCCACTCACTCAGTCTTGGCTGATGTCTCCTGCCACCAACACCACTTACTGACCATATGGTACATGGTATCATATGTTACAGGGTACTATATGGTACATTGTACATTATGTATAGGGTACCATACAGTACAGGATACCATATGGTGCAGGGTACCATATGGTGCAGGGTACCATATGGTGCAGGGTACCATATAGTACAGGGTACCATACAGTACAGGACACCATATGGTACAGATAAAAGGCTCCCTATGATTTTATACATATGCTGCTATGTATGATAATCTATTTAACTGTATATGTGTACACCTGAATAAACTTACTCAAGCGCATGTGGCATCGTAAGTAAGTTTATTTACATAGATTATCATACATAGCAGCATATGTTTGGAGAACCTAGGATAACCCAAAAAAAGTCAGACAGACTTATTTCCATTAGGGTCCCTGTACCCTGTACTATATGGTACAATGTACCATATGGTATAATGTACCATATGGTATAATGTACCATATGGTATAATGTACCATATGGTACAATGTACCATATGGTACAATGTACCATATGGTAAAATGTACCATATGGTAAAATGTACCATATTGTACAATGTACCATATGGTACAATGCACCATATAGTACAATGTACCATATGGTACCATTGTATGACATGGCACCATTGTACCATATGATTCAATGGTACCATATGGTTCAAAACCATAGAATTCCTCTTCAGCTCCAGTTCCATCAGTCTTAGAATTGTAAGTTGTGAAGAGGAGAGTCAGAGTGAGTGGGGAGTGAGAGCTTCCTTGCTGCCAGCCATGATGAACAAAGCTACTTTGGCAGCGTTCCCACAATGCCATGTGGGCATCTAGATTTTTTCTATAGTGCGCACACTGACCACCCAGACCCATTCTCTCAGATGTAGGCCTAACAGCCTTCTCGCACTAAATTTGACGCCGCTAGAATTTTGGCGTAGATCTACGGTTTGGACCCTCAACGTAAAGCCGTAGATCTACGGCACGGACCCTGAAAGGGTTAAATCAAGTCAGAGTACTCTACCTTGCATTTTGCAAGTGTTGTATGATCCCTGTGGGTTTAGTAATTTTCCCCATCAATATTATTACTGCTACTATTTATTTTGGTTAATTTAAAGATCGTGAATCAATCTATATTAAAAGATTTTTTTTAACCCTTTGAGGGTCCAAGTTGTAGATCTACTTCATGAGCTCAGCTCACTCAGATAAGCTGTGAGTGGTAAATTTGGGCCTAGATATAAGAGATTGCATCTATGTGGTAAGTGTGTACCATATACGAGTCCTGCAGCACACAGTGCATAATGAGAAAAAAAAAGGGGACCATGTGTTTGGATTAAAACACCTAATTTGCAGTGTATTTTCGTATGGTTTTTATGGTTGTATTCGTCGTATCTCGTTTCATAGAGTGGAAGATATATTATAGAAATAGAGATGATTTTGACTGTTTTTAGTACTGAAAATAACTTAAAATTGAGCTGAAAGTAGCGGAAATGTTTGATTTTTGCCGATGTTGAAGAGTAAACAAATGACGTCACGTGTCCAATACACATCAGCTGGTGGATCTAATATATATTCATGAATGTGCTGATATTATTTATACAATTATAACAATATTGCATAACAGTAAATCTTCTATTTTTTGGTGTGAATAAAAATTCTTTATGTAAATAAAAAATCAAAATGGAATTCATGTGTAAAGCCTGGAAACATAGCTTATAAACAGAGGAAATGTTATTTTAGGCCAGGAATGCCTGCATTGTTTATTCTGGACCCTATTTTGAAATTGGAATATTTTAAATTTTGTGTGAAATTGTCCAAATTACCAATTTCTGATCACTGTATTGGGTAGTTAAATAGTTAATTGGGGAGTTTCTTGTGCTCAGTTGATAAAATAGAGGTAATACTAGCAAAATAGCTAAGAATTTTGTTGATTGGAATAATGTAATTGGCTTAAAATAGGAGTCAAAGTGGGCAAAATCGCTGATGCATGTATATTGCTGACGCAGTAAAATTTTAGTTTAATTTCATCAAATTTCATACTTTTTGTTTTATTGCCTTCAGAAAGTCTCTCTACCATTTCATAATAAATAACAATTTTTTTTTAAATTCTAGGACCTTCAAAGGGTTAACCCTTTCACTTTCAGTCCCGTAATACAGTGGACCCCCGGTTAACGATATTTTTTCATTCCAGAAGTATGTTCAGGTGCGAGTACTGACCAAATTTGTTCCCATAAGGAATATTGTGAAGTAGATTAGTCCATTTCAGACCCCTAAACATACACGTACAAACGCACTTAAATAAATACACTTACATAATTGGTCGCATTGGGAGGTGATCGTTAAGCGGGGGTCCATTGTATTAGGGTTTGCAAGCCAGTGTTGGTCCTGTAATAGTACGCCAAAATTCTAGCAGCTTCCAATCTTGCAGGAGAAAGCTGGTAGGCTTCCATATGAGAGAATGGGTCTGAGTGGTCAGTGTGTGCTGTATAAAGAAAAATCATGCAGCATGCATTACATAATGAAACAAAAAATACTCCAACTGTGTTTTTTTTTTGTTTAAAACGGCAACTTTGGGGTGTATTTTCGTATGGTATTTATGATTGTATTCTTGTTTTCTTGGTCTAATTTGATAGAATGGGAGATATGTTACAAAACTAGAGATGATTTTGAAAGGTTTATGGATAAAAAGTACCTTGAAATTGAGCTCAAAGTAGCAGAAATACTCGGTTTTGCTGATGTTCAATAGTAAACAAATCGCATCCAACATCCAATACACGTCAACTGGTGGGTCTAATATGCTTTCACAAATGCGCTGATATTATACCATTTTTACAATAATGCAATAGTCTACATAACAGTAAATCTTCTATTTTTTGTGTGAATGAAAATTCAAAATGGAAAGCAAGCGTAATATAAGAGGGTCCTGGAGACGTGACTATTGAACAGAGAAAATGCTATTTTAGTGCTAATTCCTGGAATGTTTGCATTGTTAATTCTGGACCCTATTTTGAAATTGGCCTTCCTTGAATTGTGTATGAAATTGGCTAAATTACTAATTTCTGATCACTTTATTGGGTAGTTGAAATCAGTAAATGGGCAGTTTCTTTTACTCAGTTAATAGAACAAAATAGCTATGAGTCTCATTGACTGGAACAATGGAATTGGCCGAAAATAGGGCTCAAAGTGAGCAAAATCGCCGATGCTTAAATATTGCTGACACCGCTAACTTTGCGAGAGCATAATTCCGTACGTTTTCCATCAAATTTCGTACTTTTGGTGTTTTACCATCAGGAAAAGATTCTCTATCGTTTCATAAGAAAAATATTTTTTTTTTAAATTCTTTGACACTGAGACCAAGTTTATGAGCAGGAGGTATCGACAGTGAGAGGGTTACCACCATGGCTGTCTCTCACCGAGGTAGGGTGACCTGAAAAAGAAACACTTTCAGCATCAATCACCCTATCACTGTCTTGCCAGAAGGGCATAGATTTTAATATTGGCATCAAACTGCAGTTAATCATTAATTAGCCAGGATCATCAAGAAAAAGTTCTACCAATTTAAACACATCTGATAATCACATTGGTCAGTGGTCTTTTATAGTCCTTCTTGTTTACACATTCCTTTTTCATATCTGTTCAAGTGCTATGCACAAAAAAAAAAAAACAGATAATGTTAAACACTGAATAAGAAGTTGCTGGATAATCATTGATTGGTCTGCTGTGCAATGAAAATGATTTACATTAGCATCAAAGGAAAATTTGTTAACCATCAGATTTTTTAGAGTAAAGCCATTTTATATACACTTTCTTAATAATTGTAATGCCTATCTAACAGAGTGGCAGTAAGACTACCATAGTAAACACACTACTGACAGAGATGAATGGATTCACAAAGCGCGATGATGTTTATGTTATAGCTGCTACCAATCGTCCTGACATTCTTGACCCAGCAGTAACTCGACCAGGAAGGTTTGATACACTCCTCTACATAGATGTGCCAGACCATCTAGGAAGAGTATCGATTTTTCAGGCTCGAACAAAGGTAAGAACATTTTAAGTGCTTATATTTTATTGGCTAATGTATAACTGTGAGATTCAAATTAATGTTAAATTTGATTTTCATTTAATTTTGAACATAGCCATGACAAAGATTGAATGAGACTAACACCATAGTAGTATAATTTAGCCTGAGTGGAAAATGGGGGGGGGGGGTCATGATAATTTCCACAGCTCGACTAGAGCATGGTGATTTTTTTTTTTTTTAATTCTTTTGCAAATGGTCATGGTACAGTCATTAGCATGCAACCCAGGAAGCTCCTCTGGTTTTTTAGCTTGGGTATATTGCATCCTCTAACCCAAAAATCTAGAGTACCAGTAAGCAGGTATGAGAAGGGTAATGATTTCTATCCTCTACAAGTTAGCCTTATCAAATTCAAATTCAAAGTTTATTCTCTAAAAGGATTACAATGCTGAGTTTACAGAATTTGGTTATTGTGTGGTTTACATGTAGTAAAAACTAATTACAGAGGGGGCCACTAGAACACCTAGCATGGCTAGGCATTTTGGGCAGACTTAGATTAATTCTTAACTTTAAAATATTACAAATTATGAGGTAAGTTGGTATTATGGCTAAGTGACTAAATACTAGTTTGTGAGTTTAGCAGTGTGAATGTTTTTGTTTTGGCACAATACATAGTTTCAGTATTGGAGTATCACAGGCCAGCTTATGCCTAGTTAGGATTCATTATTTTAAGATTGAGATTGATATTTCTGTTTATGGTCAAATGGGTGAGTGAAAGTGTGAACCACCAGGTGGTATTCGTGTAATTAGTTGACAGGGTGCATCAGGGAGATAAGATGTTTTCTAATGGTAGTTTTGAAGGTGATGAATGTGCCCGCAGCTCTAGAGTTTTCAGGTAGGGTGTTCCAGATTTTAGGGCCTTTGACATACATTGAATTTTTGTAAAGGTTTAGTCGGACATGGGGAATGTCAGAGATGTTTGTGTCTGGTGTTATGCCTGTTGGTTCTGTCACAACTATCAAGAAAGCATTTTAGGTCGAAGTTAATATTGGAATTTTAGGTTCTGTAGATGTAGATTGCACAGTAGTAAGTGTGGATGTACTGAACAGGGAGTAAGTTTAGATCTATGAAGAGTGAGGGGGGGGGTGTTGCCAGGGATGGGATTTAGTGATTATTCTTACTGCAGCTTTTTGTTGGGTTATTATTGGCTTTAGGTGTGTTGCTGCAGTTGATCCCCAAGCACAAATAGCATAGGTGAGGTATGGATAAATAAGTGAGTGGTATAGTGTGAGAAGGGCATTTTGTGGCACGTAGTATCGTAGTGCATCAAGAGGAAGAGTAATCCTATGAAGTAATAGTTTAGGTGAGGAACCCCTCACTTATACCAGAAGTATACTTATACCTAGAGGGGTTTTAGGGATCAATGCCCCCACGGCCCAGTCTGTGACCAGGCCTTGTGGTCTGATCAACCAGGATGTTACTGTTGGCCACGCGTAAACTGACATACAAACCACAGCCCGGTTGATCAGGTACTGACTTTAGGTGCCTATCCAGTGCCTTCTTGAAGACAGCCAGGGGTCTGTTGGTAATCCCCCTTATGTATGCTGGGAGGCAGTTGAACAGTCTTGGTCCCCTGACACTTATTGTGTTGTCTCTTAGTGTATTCGTGGCACCCGTGCTTTTCATTGGGGAATATTGCATCTCCTGCTGAGTCTTTTGCTTTCATAGGGAGTGATTTTTGTGTGCAAATTTGGTACTAATCCCTTTAGGATTTTCTAACTCAAAAGTTTATAGTGAGGCCTTTCACTATAAACTATTGTGTGATTGGTTTGTGCATGAATATTTATGATGCCCACTGTATGTACTAATGTTTGAAATGAACATTCTCACTAACATGTTCTCTCCTGGTTGAACAGGTAATCATCAGAAAATCCCAGCCCCAGACCGAGCTGCAAGGGTCATTATTTAGTTGTAGCTACAGTTAGAATAAGAGGTAGATGGGGCAAAAGGAAAAGGGCAACAGCAAATAAGAGAGAGGTGAAAGTTTATACGCTAAGGGAGGAGGAAGTTAGGGTGAGATATAAGCAACTATTGGCAGAAAGGTGGCTTAGTGCGGGTATCGATAGTGGAGGGATGAAGAGGGGTGGGATAGTTTTAAAAATGCAGTGTTAGAATGTGGGGCAGAAGTTTGTGGTTACAGGAGGGTGGGTGTAGGAGGAAAGAGGAGTGATTGGCAGAATGATGAGTTTGTAAAGGGTGCAATAGCAGAGAAAAAGGTCACTTACAAGAGGTTTTTACAAAGCAGAAGTGACATAAGAAGGGTGGAGTATATGGAGAGTAAAAGAAAGGTAGAGAGAGCGGTGAGTGTGTGCAAAAGGAGAGCAAATAATAGAGTGAGTGAGGCACTGTCAACAAATTTTGCTGATAATAAGAAAAAATTTTGGAGTGAGGTAAACAGGTTAAGAAAGCCTAGGGAACAAATGGATTTGTCAATTAAAAACAGAGTAGGGGAGCTAGGAGATGGGGAGTTGGAGGTATTGGGAAGATGGTGGAAATATTTTGAGGAACTTTTAAATGTTGATGAAGAAAGGGAGGCATTAATTTCATGCACTGGCCAGGGAAGTATAACATCTTTTATGAGTGAAGAAGAGCCATATGCAAATGTGGAGGAGGTGCGTGAGGCATTACATAGAGTGAAAGGGAAGTAAAGCAGCTGGAACTGACAGGATCATGACAGAAATTATAAAAGCAGGGGGGGATATAGTGTTGGAGTGGTTGGTATTTTTATTCAATAAATGTATGAAATAGGAAAGGTACATAAGGACTGGCAGAGAGCATGTATAGTTCCTTTATATCAAGGGAAGGGGGACAAAAGAGATTGTAAAAAATTATACGGAAATAAGTTTACTGAGTACAGGTCTCCCTCAACATTCACGTTTTCAACTTTTGCGGGCTTCACACATTCGCGAATTTCCAACCGCCAACCCTCCCTCCGACCCCCACAACTGGCAGCCAGCCCTCCCACCACTGTGTGGTGGGTGGTGACTGCATATTAGAATGGCTATTCGGACAGGTATTGGAAGGTGACATGTGTTTACTCTTGAACACAGCAAAGAATCAAACATTTCTGCTACTGCTAATAATAATAATAATAATAATATAATAATAATAAATATGATAGAATTGAAGAAGGAAATTGTACAAAAATACGAGGGCTGAAGGAGTGGTGGAGGAAGTGGTTGACGCATTGTCAGTGTGGCTTTGTTTATGCTGGAGTGAGTATTAGTCTCCGTGCTCTTCCAAACATTTCACAATAATTCATTGTATTTGGTGCTTGCAGATTGAGTGTGACTGGAGTGGTAGAGGCAGTGGGTGAGGCAGTGGTAAAGGCAGTGGGTGAGGCAGCAGTTGAGGCAGCAGTTGAGGCAGTGCTAAAGGCAGTGGGTGAGGCAGTGGTAGAGGCAGTGATAGAGGCAGTGGGTGAGGCAGCAGTTGAGGCAGTGGTAGAGGCAGTGGGTGAGAGTGGTAGAGGCAGTGGGTGAGACAGTGGTAGAGGCAGTGATATTTACTAACATATATGTTATAAATAATAATAGTACATTATGAATAACATTTATTATTATTATTATTATTATTATGAATGTTATTAATATTAACATGTACTATTATTATTTATAACATATATGTTAGTAAATACCACTGCCTCTATCACTGCCTCTTCACTGCCTCTACCACTGCCTCTACCACTGCCTCTATCACTGCCTCTACCACTGCCTCTATCACTGCCTCTACAACTGCCTCTATCACTGCCTTACCACTGCCTCTATCACTGCCTCTATCACTGCCTCTACCACTGCCTCTACCACTGCCTCTATCACTGCCTCTACCACTGCCTCTACCACTGCCTCTACCACTGCCTCTATCACTGCCTCTATCACTGCCTCTACACTGCCTCTACCACTGCCTTACCACTGCCTCTACCACTGCTCTACCACTGCCTCTACCACTGCCTCTAACCACTGCCTCTATCACTGCCTCTACCACTGCCTCTATCACTGCCTCTACCACTGCCTCTATCACTGCCTCTACCACTGCCTCTACCACTGCCTCTATCACTGCCTCTACCACTGCCTCTACCACTGCCTCTCCACTGCCTCTATCACTGCCTCTAACCACTGCCTCAAACCACTGCCTCTACCACTGCCTCTACCATGCCTCTATCACTGCCTCTACCACTGCTCTATCACTGCCTTATCACTGCTCTACCACTGCCTCTATCACTGCCTCACCACTGCCTTACCACTCCTCTACCACTGCCTTAACACTGCCTCTATCACTGCTCTACACTGCCTCTACCACTGCCTCTAAACTGCTCTATCACTGCCATTTACCACGCCTCTATCACTGCTCTACCACTGCCTCTATCACTGCCTCTACCACTGCCTCCCACTGCCTCTATCACTGCCTCTACCACTGCCTCTACCACTGCCTCTACACTGCCTCTATCACTCCTACCATGCCTTACCACTGCCTCTACCACTGCCTTCTATCACTGCCCACCACTGCCTCTATCACTGCCTCTATCACTGCCTCTACCATGCCTCATATCACTGCCTCTACCACTGCCTCTACCACTGCTCTACCACTGCCTCTACCCTGCCTCTACCACTGCCTTATCAATGCCTCTGTCATGCCTCTATCACTGCTTACCATGCTTTACCACTGCCTCAACCATGCCATCTACACTCCAGTCACCTCAATCTACAAGCACCAAATACAATGAATTATTTGTGAAATGTTTGGAAGAGCACGGAGACTAATACTCACTCAGCATAAACAAAGCCACACTTGATGATGTGTCAACCACTTCCTCCACCACTCCTTCACCCTCATATTATTTTTTACAATTTCCTTCTTCAATTCTATCATATTTATTATTATTATATTATTATTATTATTATTAGCAGTAGCAGAAATGTTTGATTCTTTGCTGTGTTCAAGAGTAAACACATGATGTCATCTTCCAATACCTGTCCGAATAGCCATTCCAATATACAGTCATAAATGGGTTGACATTATTTATACTGTAGTTTAATAGCAAATAAACAAACAAAACACTCACCACACAGTGGTGGGAGGGCTGGCTGCCAGTTGTGGGGGGTCGGAGGGAGGGTAGTAGGGACCCGCAGTGGTGGAGGCAGTGGTATTTAATAACATACATGTTGTTAAGGCATAACGTATGTATTTAGTACAATTTACGACGTTTTCATGTATTTTATGATTGTTCATGGTTCAACAAGTTAAGGAAGCAGTATTGTATTATATTTCCCTACAATATATTGGGGCACCAAACATTCACAGTTTTTCAACATTCGCGAGGCTCTTGATCCCCTAACCCTCGTGAATGTTGAGGGAGACCTGTATACCAGGTAAGTGTATGGTACGGTTATTATTGAAAGAATTAGAGGTACGACAGAGAACAGGATTGCAGATGAATAAGGAGGCTTTAAAATGGGTAGGGGATGTGCAGATCAAGTATTTACATTGAAGCATATATGTGAACAGTATTTAGATAAAGGTAGGAAAGTTTTCATTGTATTTATGGATTTAGAAAAGGCATATGATAGGGTGGATGGCAGAGCAATGTGGCAGATGTTGCCAAGTGTATGGAATAGGTAGTAAGTCACTAAATGCTGTACAGAGTTTTTACAAGGATAGTGAGGCTCAGGTTAGGGTGTGTAGGACAAGGAGAGATTACTTCCCAGTAAAAGTAGGTCTTAATGTCACCATGGTTGTTTAACATATTTATAGATGAGGTTGTAAAAGAAGTAAATGCTAGGGTGTTTGGGAAAGAGGTGGGATTAAATTATGAGGAATCAAATACAAAATGGGAGTTGATGGTTACAAAGGTTAGTGGACGAGTTTGGGAGGGTGTGTAAAGGTAGAAAGTTGAAAATGAATATAGATAATAGCAGAGTGATGAGGGTATCAAATGATTTAGATAAAAGAAAAATTGTATATCACATTGGAGGGCGTATGGAAGAAGTGAATGTGTTCAGATATTTGGGAGATGACTTGTCAGCAGATGGGTTTATGAAGAATGAGGTTAACCATAGAATTGATGAAGGAAAATAGGTGAATGGTGCTTTGAGGTATCTGTGGAAACAAAAAACATTATCCATTAGGCAAAGAAGGGAATCTACAAGAGTATAGTAATACCAACACTTTTGTATGGGTGTGAAGCATGAGTTGTAAATGCTGCAGCAAGGAGGAGGCTAGAGGCAGTGGAGATATCATGTCTAAGGGCAATGTGTGGTATAAATATTATGCAGAGAATTTGTAATGTGGAAATTAGGAGGAGGTGTGGAGTTACTAAAAGTATTAGTCAGAGGGCTGAAAAGGGATGGTTGAGGTGGTTTGGTTATGTAGAGAGGATGGAACAAAGTAGAATGACTTGTAGAGCTTATAAATCTGTAGGGGAAAGTGGGTAGGGGTCATCCTAGGAAAGGTTGAAGGGAGAGGTACAGTAGGTTTTGTGGGTGAGGGGCCTGGACTTCCAGCAAGCGTGTGTGTGTGTGTGTGTGTGTGTGTGTGTGTGTGTGAGGAGTGAATGGGGATGAATGGTTTTTGGGACCTGACAATCTGTTGGAGTGTGAGCAGGGTAATATTTAGTTAAGGGATTTAGGGAAAACCGGTTAGCCGGACTTGAGTCCTGGAAATGGGAAGTACAATGCCTGCACTTTAAAGGAGGGGTTTGGGATATTGACAGTTTGGAAGGACTTCTAAACTGTCATATCTGAGTGCCTCTGCAAAAACTGATTATGTATGAGTGAGGTGAAAGTGTTGAATGTTGATGGAAGTATTTTCTTTTTGGGTCACCCTGCCTAGGTGGGAGATGACCGACTTGTTTGAAAAAAAAAAATATTCCTCTTAAGATTTCTATTCAGATAAAACTGGGTCTGAGACCAGACCACAAAGGTGAAGGTTCTTAGAAACATTAATAGATATGTGCCTTAATAAGCAGCATAAAGTTGCAAGGCAAAATATCAGTATTATACATTAAAATTCCTTAAAAAATATGAGATTGGTATGGAGGCAGGCTTGGTCATGGACCGAGCCACAAAGGTGTTGACCCTTGGAACACTCCAGGTAGACATTCGAGGCTGGAATTGTCAAAGTACAGTGGAACCCTGAGTATCGGCCACTTCGAGTTTTGACCGCTTTTTTCTGCAAAATTTTGTCCTAAGTTTCAGCCGGCATACCAGACCTGTCCACCTGCCCATGCAGGCATCGTGGGCCGGTCTAGCTTTGTTTATCCTTGAGTGGACATTACCCTGAGCAGTCATCCAAACATTTCACAATAAATTCATTGCGTTTAGTGCTTTTTTATTGATTGTGACTGTGAAATAAGCCACCATGAACTCAAAGTAACTTCATAGTGGCAGCCCTTTGGTAAAGAAAGTGAAATACACGATAGAATTGAATAAAGAAATTGTAGCAGAGCACCAAAGTGGAGGAGGAAGAGAGAGGGGAGAATGTGCCTTCTTCAGTGATTCTATGATACGTACGATACTAAAGCAGCATGGGTCAATAAAGGCTATAGCGCCAGCCAGTGATAAAGTGTAGCAAGTAAGTTAAGCTATTAATCGAGAGAAAAAGAACAGCACAAAACTGAGTCCTCCAATGTTGTTGGAGTTATATAGGGCGACTGAAAACACTGCCGTCTCTGCTGCCGCCATCACCACCACTATGTAAGGCTTATCTTTCAGTGGCCCTTATACACCCAACAACACAGCAACACTCGTCGGTTAGGGAGAGAGACATATGATATTTTATTCATTCTAGAGTATATATCATGTTTCTATGTTGTTAATATTGTTTATTATGTCATATTAGATGGATTGTGCTAGATAAATAAGCTGTAGAGTTGATATTAGTGTCATATTGAAGGACTGTCTTGTCCTGCCTCCAAACAAACTCTCCTGCCTCTCTCATATGCCAACAAGTCTCTTCAATAAAGGTAAAACTGATTTAAATGTTCATTTATCCATTAAAATTAGCTCGTTATATTTATTTCTCATTGTTTTCTGTATGTAAAACTATAGTATTTATTCTTAAAAAGTTGATTTTTTTGTGAATATTTTTGAACGGAACAGATTAATTGGATTTACATTATTTCTTATGGGAAATATTGCTTTGACTTTAAGCCGTTTCGACTTTAGGCCTATCTCCTGGAATGGATTACGGCCATAACTCGGGGTTCCAGCTTGCCCCTCTTGTTTTCAATGGCACAGTGCTTTGAAGTTGCAATTTAGCTGATGGTCAGAGCCCCAGGTCAGGTAGGTCCAATATCCAGACTTTGAATAAAGGCATTGAAATATTTAGAGAATAAAAACGGAAAATTGAGAACCAAACCAAATGTGGAAATTTAGTCAATATGAATGCAACACAGTAATGGTGTCACACTGTACAGTACATAAATTTTGTGAACATGGCTAATGTATTACAGAATGGGACGTGTCCTTGCTTGGCTTCTGATGTCAACTTGGAGGAAGTGTCTCGTCTATGTGACAACTTCTCTGGTGCTGATTGTGACCAGCTGGTGTACCTAGCCAGTAAGGAAGCTATCAGGGAGGTGATAAACAGCTCAGCATCCTATACAACTCCTGCACCAGTGAACGATGAACAACCTGTATACCGCTTTGTTGCTAAGAGACATTTTTCTGCTGCCCTTAGAAAAATCAAGCCATCTATAACATTGGAGGTCTGTATGAATGAAAGTTTGTCATATCTTGTGTTATTCAGTTCAGTCTGCAGATAAAGTACAAAATTTGAACAGTACAGTATCTCAAGGAAATTAATTTGCATATATTATGACTTGTAGTTACCTATTTTCTTTGTGTGAGAGAGAGCTTGCCTTCACTGATATCATGTCATATTAACACTCCCCTTTTAAGAGGAAAGTGATATTGACCCTGAGTTTAGTGGCTTTGAGGTGGATGTTGCCGCAAGAGTTGGAGGAAATATAAAAAATCTCGATAATAACCCATGTGCAACGTTTGTGCAACACCCTTTCAAAATGTCTTATAACCTATACCCTAAGTAAAGAGAAAATATTCTGGAATGTCTAATAAGTGTTCGGCAGGCTGGCTGCTTGGCTGGCCAACTGGCTGCTGGCTGGCTCTATCTCTGTATGTGTGTCTCTCCGTATCTGTGTCTATCTCTGTCTCTCTCTTTTTATCTATATCTAATACATAGTGTAAATTACCTAGGATAACCCCAAAAAATCCAAAGTCTTATACTGTACTTGTAGATATAATGCATAAGAATGCCTGTTGGTTCACAGTGGCTCTCTCTGAGACAGAGAGAGAGACAAGCAGAGAGACAACCAGAGATAGATAAGCAAAGACAGAGATGCCGACGCTCATCAAATGTCACCCTTTATCTCGTCACTGCACCCTCGCTTGGGCTCATCAAATGTCACCACTTATCACTGCACCCTCTGGTTATGAAATGACAAGAGCTACTATAAATTGTAATTTTTTTTTTTTTTTCAACAAGTCGGCCGTCTCCCATCGTGGCAGGGTGACCCAAAGAGAAAATCCCCAAAAAGAAAATACTTTCATCATTCAACACTTTCACCTCACTCACACATAAAAATTATATAAAATAATTTAGAAATGAGAAAAAAAAACATAGCAACACTTCTGCAAGTGGCAGGACTCGATGTTGCCGTCAGGTGTTTACCAAGTGCCAATTTTGGGGCCTCATATCTCAGTAAGTACTGACCCTAAAATAATTACACCTTATTACATGTTTCAGAATTGTTTCTCTTTCCTAGGGTATAGGTTATAAGACATTCTGAAAGGGTGTTGCACAAATGTTGCACATGGGTTATTATCGAGGTTTTTGATATTTCTTCAATCACTTGTGGCCACATTCACCTCAAAGTCACTAAACTCAGGGTGAACATCACTTTCCTCTTAAACGGGGAGTGGTGTTTGCTGCCCTCAATTTAACTAGCGCTCCCACAAGGTACTAAATGATCCCAGATTTTTTTAATACAGCACACACAGAGTATTAAGACCCATTCTGTGCTGACCAGGCATCTCAGGCCAATTGTGCCAAATTTGGAGGCAGGAAAAATACAACATAAACATACGTTTAGCGCACTAGCGGTAAGAACACTATGTACGTTTGGACCGTTTACGGGTTAACAGGAATGCATCAAGAACATGACCCACACACCCAAGTGAGTCATAAGGACATCTGAAATCACCACTACATTTACATACTTAACCCTATGAGGGTCCATGCCATAGATCTATGGCTATACGTTGAGGGTACAAACCGTAGATCTATGCCAAAATTCTAGCGGCGTCAAATTTAGCACGGGAAGGCTGGTAGGCCTACATGTGAGAGAACAGTTCTGCATGGTGTGTGCGCGCTGTAAACAAAAATTCTAGGAGCCCGCATAGCATTGTGGGAACGCCACCTCGGTTACCTTTGTTCACCATGCCTCGTCGCAAGTCAGCTCTCGCTCCAAGGCGAATTGGGACTCTCCTCTTCCTATCTGATAGTTCGGACTCTGATGGAAGTGGAAATGAAGACGAATTCTATGGCTTTGATCAATTAGTGACCGAAAGGAATGACCAGGACATCGAAAATAGTGCAGAAAATCCTGACGATCCTCAACCTTCTACCTCTGGTGTGGGCACGTCTGTCACATTCAGTTATACCTCGTCGCAAGAGAAAACTAATATTTTCGCGTGGCCAGGCCTCAGACTTGAGTAATGATGATAGTGACGTGGATTGTGATTTTATTGCTCTTGACCAGTGTTATTCACTAATTTTTGCAAGAGAGCCACTTCGGTTAAACACATTGATTGAGAGAGCCGCAGCTACTGCAAGTTAGCGTAACTCAACTAAATTAAGTAGTACTGAGCTGCTAGTGCAATGTAGTAAATGAGAAAAAGTAGACATGAGCCGTGAATTGAGCCTCTGGCGGCTCGCGAGCCGCACAACGAATACCACTGCTCTTGACGATCATTCCAGTAGTGATAGTGAGGAATCATATTCACCAGTGAAGCATCGGTATATACGCCGCCGCATGAGCTCGGGTAGTGTTCCCTATGCAGTCCCCAGGGGACGGAGTACATCCCGTGGCCCTACACCAGGAATAGACTGTGAAAATGAGGATGATGTGGCTACACTTGGCATGGATAGACCACAGGCATCAGTATGTGGTGGTATTGGTGGTGATGGTGGTAGTGGTGATGGTAGTGCCACAGCCATGCATGACTCACCAGCCCACGCCGCTGACTCCTCAGCTCAAGGACAAAGCGGAGCGTCGGCCACCTCCCCACCACAACTACAACTACCACCACAACCAGCTTATGATGTCCAGTGTCCACCAGCAAACTGTATCTGGGATTGGCAGCAAAATCCCAATTTTGTTCCCAAGCCCCACCACTTTGATGACTCTCAAAGTGGAATTCTACCTACTTGTCCCCTTGGAAACACTGCAAATGAACTGGAATTCTTTGAACTATTCTTTGACCAGCCCTTGAGGGAAACTATTGTCAGGGAAAGTAACAAGTATTTTGAGTACACCATGGCAAATACGATCATATCACCACGCTCAAGACTACACCGGTGGAAAGAGACAACTGTTGCTAAAATGTATTTGCTTTTTGCAACAATAATGCTTATGTCTCATTTCTATAAGCATAATATAAAATCATACTGGTCCACAGATCGGCTAATTTGTACCTCGGCCTTCAGTGAAATCATCCCAGTGAACAGGTTTATCTTACTGTTACATATGTTGCACTTCTCTGGCAAAACCAGGCCTGACAGAAGTGACAGGTTATACAAGATTAGAAATGTTTTTATGTATCTGAAACAAAAGTTCAGCATGTACTTTTATCCATTCAAGAATCTTGTAATTGACGAGTCTTTGATTTTGTTCAAAGGTAGACTGTCATTCAAGCAGTATATACCGAGCAAGAGGAAACGCTTTGGTATAAAACTGTTTGTACTCTGTGGCTGTGACAGTGGCCTGGTATTGGATATTATTGTATACACAGGAAGTAAAACATTGAAAGATACCAGGATGTTATTGGGTATCTCAGGTGATGTAGTGAGAAGCATGATGGCACCTTATCTTGGTAAGGGGCATACATTATATACTGATAACTGATACACAAGCCCTTTACTCGGTGACTTCTTGCGAGTGAACATGATAGATATGTGTGGCACAGTACGTTCTAATCGTAAACATATGCCCAGGTTCAGTGCAGGTGTTTACTGTAAGCCAATGACATCATGGCATTACAGTGGCATGACAAACAAGATGTCACATTGTTGACAACCATTCACCGTAACGAAATGCAAGACAGTGGCAAAGTGATAGTGACTAATGAATATATTTGAAAACCAGTGACAGTGATTGATTATACACAAAACATGTGCTTGGTTGACAAATGTGACATGCAGATTGGCTTTGTTGATTGTGTTTGTAAGAGTTACAAGTGGTACATGAAACTTTTCTTCCATCTCGTGGACATTTCAATGCTCAATGCATATATGTACCAAATGAAGACTGGCTACAGACCACCATATGGTGAATTTTGTCTGTTGTCAGGTAACAACACCTGCTATACAAAACTATCCTAGAACTCCTCAGGAAATACCCAAGCATTTGAGGAGGGAAGGAGATCACTTCATAATACATCTTCCTGCAACTAAGAAGAAATTTGCTCAGAAGAGATGTGTTGTCTGTGCAAACAAACAAAACAACGGCAACAAAGACGCAAAGACACTCGGTTTGTGCGCAAGGACTGTAAGGTACCTCTGTGCATGATACCTTGTTTCAAGGACTTCCACAAACTGCAGCAGTTCTAAAAACATGTCCAGTGACTGTACATATATTTACATATGATAGAACATTAGTCTTATACAAAATTTGTGCATGTTTATTGTAGTAAACAAAAGTGGTAAACAATATTGCACCTACCATCCAACTTATGACCACGTATTTTATGCCAAATTTCTGGGAAATAAACAACTATTTTTGTTGTACACAGTTTTTATCCTGAACCTTACAGTATAAAATACAGTACTAACAGCATAAAAAGTAAAGTAAAACATGAAGTACCAAAATAAAACAATAAAATAGTCATTACAAAAATGTTTTGTTGATATTCAGTAGTAAAGCTCGACTTACAACCGGTTTCTCGGAGCCGAACTCGGTCGCAAGTCAGATGGTAGGTGTATAATAACTTTAGTGTGGTTATTGTGTTCAATACAGTGAGTGTATATATATACAGTATTGGTCTCACAAGCCACAAATGTTAATAGAAAAAGAAAAAAGTATAAAAAACGTTAAGTAAAGAAATGCGAGTTTGTGGAAATCACTGATGTTGCCGCCACCTTGTCATTTTGGATCAACTTCTCGCCTCTGCATCTCAGTAAGTGCTGATCAGAAATTTTTTTTTTTGTTTTATTACCTTCACAAAAATATAATCTTTAACCCTTTGAGGGTCCGTGCCGTAGATCTACGGCTATACGTTGAGGGTCCAAACAATAGATCTACGCCATAAGCTCAGCTCACTCTAATAAGCTTCGAGCGGTAAATTTGGGCCTAGATATGAGAGAATACATCTATGTGGTATGTGCGCACCACATGAAACAAATCCTGCAGCACACAGTGCATAACCGAGACCGTAATTTTCAATTAAAACAGTGAATTTGCAATGTTTTTTTTAGTTGTATTTGTGATTTCTTGGTCTCATTTGATAGAATGGAAGATATATTACAGACATAGAGATTATTTTGATTGGTTTTAGTAATGGAAATGGGTTGAAACCGAGCTCAAAATAGTAGAAATGTTATATTTTTGCCGATGTTCAAGAGTAAACAAATGATCCTACACGTCTAATACACGCCAGCTGGTGGGTCTAATACGTGTTCACAAATGTGGTGATATTTATACAATTATTACAGTATTGCATAACAGAAAATCTTCTATTTTTTGGTTTGAATAAAAATTCATTGTTTAAAAAATCAAAATGTAATTAATTTGTAAAGCCAGAAAACGTAACTAGTGAACAGAGGAAATGTTAGTGTAGTGCCAGGAATGCCTGCATTGTTTATTCTGGACCCTATTTTGAAATTGGAATATTTTGAACTTTGCATTAAATTGGCCAAATTACTAATTTCCAATCACTATTTTGTAGTTGAAACAGTTGACTTGGCGATTTCTTGTGCTCAATCGATATATTATTATAATCAAAAGAAGCGCTAAGCCACAAGGGCTGTACAGCGCTGCACTGCTCAATCGATAGAAGTAATACTAGTGAAATAGCTAAGAATTTGGTCAACTGGAGTAATATAATTGGCCAAAAATGGGAGTCAAAGTTGGCAAAATCGCCAATGCGTAAATTTCACACTTTTTGTTTTATTACCTTCAGAAAAAAATTCTCTACCTTTTCATAAGAAAAAATAATAAAATTATTTTTTTAAAATTCTTGGCCACTGGTGCACACTTTGAAATTTGGCCTTTGGACCCTGAAAGGATTAATTCTGTATTTTTTTTTTAATTTCTTGGACACTGGGGCACCCCTTCAGATTTTGCCTTTGGACCCTGAAAGGGTTAAATGTTTAATAGGCATTTAGCTTTATCCTGTTGCTTTCACCTTGCAGGAACAGCGACGCTATAAGAGGCTGCACAGCAAAATTGAAGCATCCAGAGTGTGTGGGGAACTTCCAGTATTCCCCGAGACTGCAAGTTTAGTTGCTGAAAATATCGAAGAACAGACACAGCCTATTGATGATGCAGAGAATATAGAACAAGAGTAATAAATTATACACTATTACATGATATTTTAAGTATGCATAAATTTTTAATTATCCCTCTCATTACTATTATAATAGTTAAACTCTAAAGGGTCACACAGCTATCCCTCAGAACTTGCAAACCTAGTAGTGAGTAAACCAGTCTCTTAAATTAATGCTTCTTCATAGACATGATCAATCAACAGTCCTAGGATCTGAGATTCATACTTCATTGTCACCTGCTGTCCTTACTTCTTCTTCTTGCTCACATGTTTCTACATCAACACAACCTTCCCCAACTAAAACATCACCAAAGTACAAATCTCCTTTAGCCCCCTTTATCATTATAATAAAAAAGAAGCACTAAACCTACAAGGGTTATGCAGCAGGGAAGAATGCAGGGGTAAAAGGGTAGGGGAGAGGGATGATTATTAGGTTATGAAGTGCAGCAGGGCAGTAGATAATGCAGGGGTAGAGGGTAGCTAGAGATTAAGGTGGAAAGGACTGAATAGTGTGCTAGACATCATCAGAGAGAGTCTGGATTAAAGGAGGGTCTATCAGCAAGAAGGGAAGGTAAAGAAAGGGCAGCAAAGTGGAGACAGCGTTGGAGGTAAATTCTGCGTGCTCATTGATAGTGGGCAGTCCAACAGAATGTAGCTAACAGATACTGGAACTTGAAAATTCTCAGAGAGGAACAGGATCCCTCTCCATGAGATTCCCGTGAGTAAGACAAGTGTAGCTAATGTGAAAATGGGAGATAGACTCCCAACCTTGACATTGATGACAAGAAGACAGCCAGAAACCTATACTCAGTTTAACATAATGAAGGTTGTTATGGAGCAGATCAGATCAACGTTGTTGCAAATGGGTGCGAAGATGGATAGCAATTACAGCAAAATAGTGGGTGAATGTAATACCGCTATGTGAAACTGGGAGGTCATATACTGCTGACTGCGCATCAGTGTCTGCCTGTTCATTGCCTTGTATGTCAACATGACCAGGGACCCAACAAAAAACAATATCTCTGTGTTTGCTAGAGATACGGTGTAACCAAAGTTGGATATGAAGAACTAGGGGGTGAGGTGTATCAAATTTCCGTATAGCCTGTAAAGCACTAAGGGAGTCTGAAACCACAAATGGTGACACACGCATAGATGTAATACGGATAAGTGCTACAAGAATGGCATACAATTCAACCATAAATATGCCAGCCAAGGGTAACAAATGCCCTTGCACGACACTGTCCAGAAACACTGCTGCGAATCCAACACCATCAGCGATGGCATGAGAATGAGAGCTCAAGTGGTCAAAAAGAGAGTGGGAAGCCACTGTAGGTAGTTGGGCTTTTGAGCATGGCAGTGGGAAAGAACATACATGAACAGCTGGAACTTCCCAAGGGGGCAGGGAAAAGTGAGATGCTACATGAACATAGAGAGGTGGTAATTGAAGAGAAGTCAAGAGTGAATGTAGGCAGAGAGAAAAGGGACAAAGTAAACAGGGGTGACGAACAAATAAAGAAAAATAAAGAACGTCTATTAACATCATTGGCTATCATATATACAGAAGGATTGTAGACGTCATGAGATCGAACATAATAGTGAAGGCAATGAGCATCACGGCGATCAGACAAGGATGGAAAATTCCCTTCTGCACAGAGGCTCTCAACGGGATGAACGAAAGGCACCAAGGCACAGAGACCTTGGTGATGTACAGGATCTAACTTAGACAGAGTTGTGGGAGAGGCTGCAGAATAGATTTGGTCACCATAATCTAACTTGGACAAGATTAGGGTGGAATGCAAACATAGAAGAGTACGACGATCCGCTCCCCATGAACGATGTGCGAGAACTTTAAGGAGATTTAGCTGACCATGGCAAGTTGTCTTTAATGAAGAAGTGCAAGGTCTCCACGTCAGCCGGTGATCAAAGAGCAGGCCCAGAAACCTGACCGTATCACATGCCGGAATACGTGAACCGTGTAAGCATGAAGGAGTGTCTGGTATAAGCGGGCGTCTAGTGAAGGTAATTTATCGGGTTTTCGTGCTGGAAAATTTAAAGCCATGAGAAGTGGTCCAATGGGAGACTCGGTCGATCACAACCTGAAGGGAGGCCGATACTAGTCAAGTCAGCGCCCGAGTAAGCTATAGCGAAGTCATCAACATAGTGATGACCAAATATGTGAAGGAAAAAGAAAAATAGTACTGAGGACACAACCTTGTGGGACTCCTTCAGCTTGTATAAAGTCCGAGGAAAGCAAGGCGCCAATACAGACCCGAAAATGTCTATCAGACAAGAAAGCAGCGATGAAGTTTGGTAGATTACCGCGAAGTCCTAAGGAGTGGGCTTGGGCTAGGATGTTATACCTCCAAGTGATGTCATATGCCTTTCTAGATCGAAAAAGACTGCTAGAACAGAGTGGTTGCTAGCAAAGGCATTTCGAATATACATATGATGACTAACAAACTTACCCTGAACACTGATAAAACCTATTTCATTCAGTTTGGAAACAAAGCTGCAAATGATCCAATTAACATAACGCTAAATGGATCATCAGTCACAAGACTCTCAGAGGGAAAATTCCTAGGTATCCACCTTGATAGTAGCCTTAAGTTCCGGACACACATACAACAAATCACCAAGAAAATCTCCAAGACTGTAGGCATACTATCAAAGATAAGGTACTACATTCCACAATCAGCTCTCCTGGCACTGTACCATTCACTCATATACCCTTATCTTACATATGGAATTTGTGCATGGGGAACAACAACATCCAATCGCCTAAAACCCCTAATAACCCAGCAAAAGGCAGCAGTAAGAATGATAACAAATTCCCACTCCTGCCAGCATACTCCAGTTTTCAAAAGTCTGAATCTGCTCACCATTAAGAACATCCATACTTATTCATGTGCCTACTACATACACAGAACAATACACCCAAATATAAATCCCTCCACTCAAACTTCTCCTCACCAACTTAAACAGGACATACCAAAACACAAGACTCAGATCTCTTTTTGATATACCTCGTGTCCATATCACACTGTGTAAAAACTCTCTGCACATAAAGGGCCCCAAAATATGGAATTCATTACCAGAAGATATTAAAGTAACCCAGTCTGAAAATCAATTTAAGATTCTTCTCAAAAGCCACTTAATCACCCTAGACTAAATGCTCAATACTCAGTACACACTTACTCACCTATGTACTCCCACCCCTCAAGGAAGGTTCCTTGATGTTGGTGAGGGGCTCTTGATTTAGGGAATTGGATCTGTGCTCCAGTTCCCGAATTAAGCCTGAATGCCTTCCACATCCCCCCTTCCCCAGGCGCTGTATAATCCTCCGGGTTTAGCGCTTCCCCCTTGATTATATAATAATAATATGTACTTCCACATCATAACTGAAACAATCACATTGAACCTTTTATCCATTGTTGACAGAAATATAATTGAATCATTGTTTTCACAAAAGCATTTTAGAATATAAATATATCTTTGTATTATACAAATTTTGATTCATTTATAATTAATATTCTACTGTATAACTATGAAAAAATTACTATCCTACTGTACAACTATGATATACTCCTTAGTATTAAGTAGACTGTAAGCCAATAATGTTAAGTTGGCCCATAATGCCGAGGCATAATAGAGGCTCTTTGCATTGCAACCTACCATTGTAAATACAAAATCTTAATGTACTGTTTGCAAAGACATAAAATAAATAATTAAATATCAAAGTGGAGCAAGGGGCCTAAAGTAGAGTAGTCTTTGTGAAAGCCATATTGGTGAGGGGAAAGGCTGTTGTGTGTCTCTAGGAACCACATCAGATGTCTATTCACCAATTGTTCCATCACCTTGCAAACCACAGTGGTCAGGGCAATGGGACGATAGTGAGAGGTGTCAAGCCCTGAAGCACCCAGTTTGTGAAACGGTAGTACAATAGCTGATTTCCAATGTTGTGGAAGAACCCCTCACTCCCAAATTAGATTGAAAAGACGTAAAAGGATGAGAAGGGCCGTAGAATGGAGATGGTGTAGCATACTGATGTACAACAGAGACCTGGTTCAACTTGAAAGATAGAGAAATGCCCTCTGAATGCAACATACAGGGTTATAAACTATTCCATACTGATAGGGTCAACAGGAAGAATGGTAGAGTGGTGATGTATGTCAGAGATAGTTTAAATTGTTGTGTTAGACAAGATATAAGATTAGAAACCTCAGACACAGAATCTGTTTGGCTACAGTTTCTCGTGGGTCGTGAAAAGTTAATTTTGGGTGTGATTTATAGGCCCCCAAACCTTGATAGGAAGTGCAGTAAGCTGTTATGGGACAAAATTCATAAGACATCTAGATATGAAAATGTGTTGAGATTTTAACTTAGAAAAATTGATTGGAACAACGTGACAGGAAATCTTGAGTCTTGTGACTTTCTTGATATGGTTCAGGATTGCTTTTTAGAACAGTGTGTGACAGAACCAACTAGAGGAAACCATCTACTTGACTTGGTTCTTGCCAACAAAGAATCACCAGTTAATAATCTTGAGGTTAATGATGAGCTAGGGAAAAGTGATCACAAATCACTTAGTTTCAATATATCGTGGAGTTACCCAGATAACTGCAATCAAATATCTGTCCTTGACTTTTGCTTGACCGATTTCATGGGACTGAAAAATTACCTGCGTGAGGTAATTTGGGATGTCCTGACTATGGGTCAGGTAGGTGGTCTTGGTTGCAAATATGATGTTTTTCAGAGCATAGTTCTAGCTGCCCAGACAACTTTTATTCTGAGTAGGGAAATTAGATCTAACAAAAATGATCCCAAATGGATGAACAATAGATTAACCCTTTGAGGGTCAAGAGGCCCTTTCCCAAACTCTTTCTCAGTCGAAAATTTTTCAAAAAAAATAAATTATTTTTTTTATGAAATGATAATCTTTTTCCGATCATGACACCAAAAGTATGAAATTTGATGAAAAACTTATGGAATTATGCTCTTACGAAGTTGGCGAATTCGCCCACTTTGGGCCCTATTTTCGGCCAATTCCAATGTTGCAGTTGACT